AGTTATTTTAAGATCCGAAATCCACTTAAGTGGATTCCGAATCTACTGATATTCCGTATCCACCTACAACATATATAAAAACCAATTGTATCAAATGATTGTCTACATAATACTAATCTTTAATGATCTTGAGATTCTGTAAATTGGATTTTAATGATTTTGGGCTTGTTAGAATTGTCTCATTGAGACAAACATTTTAGTAGTTAAATTATCTAAAACGGACTAATATATCAAAAGTTATTTAATATTAAATGCATTTATATAGTAACTCTAAAAATAAAAGTTAATAGTAAATTTATACAAAATTTTAATTATCTTGAGAACCTGTGATTGGATCTTAACAATTTTAGATTGATTAGAATCGTCTCATTGAGACAAACATTTTAGTAGTAAAATTATTCAAAACGGAGTAGTGGATCAAAAGTTATTAGCAATTATATAAATTAGCCCCATATGCTTAGTATGTTTTTGAGATATAGCACTTTCTGGTGATTTAACCAGGGGCAAGTTAGCAATATCCATAAATAAATACTATATTTTTTTAAATAAACTCTTTTTTTAAACAATTTTAAATTTAAAAAAATCAAAAGTAGCTTATTTTTAAATATAATAAGTTTTTAAAATATTTTTAATTAATTATTACTAATTTGTTTTTTTTTTAAATTATATTTTCTTGGTAAGTAAGTTCAAATTTGCAATAAAAAAAAGATAGCTTTGTAGAACTTATCCAAGACTACAATGTTATGAATTATTTTATTGCAAATTTTTAAATATTCATTGAGGAGTTATGATTTTGAATGTCTTTGGATAATTTGCACTGTAACGCGACTTTGTCTGGTTTTTTCGCCCAGCCCAACCATCGTACATGATCTTGCAGGAGCATAGAGGTTTTAATCTGATGGCCTGTCGTGACAACAGTCATTTTTTTTAGCTGATTTTTAGGTAGCTTATGGTCTGTCGGGCGACAGTCATAATTTGGATTTTGAAATAGAAGTGGCCTGTCGGCATGACAGTCACGAAAAGTTTTCTTGTTATTTTTTGCATATAGAAGTGACCTGTCAGGACGACAGTCACTCACAAAAAATTTCTTAGTATTTGTGTATTAGAGGTGGTCTGTCAGGACGACAGTCACAAAAAATTTTCTGTATTTTTTCCAGATAGAATTGTTTGGTTTTTTTCGTCCCACCCTTTACGATAGACAACAGCATTAGAAATTATTAGATTTTAGGCCAATCGATCAATGCTTTCAAATTCTGCACTGTTAGTACGTATTACACGAAGGCAGAAGGAACAGAATACCATAGTTACTTTTCATTTGTAACACCCATTGATGAGTATTTGCACGTAATAGCGGGCCGAGGCGTTAATTTGAATTTAAAAAAATTGGCCATATTTGAAATAACGCCAATACGCGTCTTGAAATAACGCGCACCCTACCCTTCATGTGATTAAGAATCTTTTTTTTTTCGATTTATAACCTAACGTAAATTTATTAATATTTATTACTACATACTATGCTATTATTACTTTTGTGATATCAGTAAAGATTAAAACTCATTAGCCGGGTATTATTCAATTACCAGGTAGTTATTAAATAAGTTATTATATGGTTGAATTGATTCTTTATCTCCGTTTCACAACTTGTTAATACAAATGAATTATTTTACAGTATCAATGCGCATAGAATGGTTCTACCACAAATCCCGAAAGCCATTTTCCTGAAAGAACATAATGCTGACTAATCGGCCAGCGTTATGGTGGTAGAACCGCATATAATAATAGGTTAAAATCCTGTTACTAACTTGGCTATCTTAATAACGCCCATATCGATATGTGTTATTTAAATCCAAGAGATCGAAAATTTTATATTTTTACTCAAAATAAGGCGCATGCGCACTTCAAAATAACGCGCGGAAGGACGTTATTACGCGCAAATATGGTAATTATCTCGCGTGAAAGTAAATTTATAATTGAGCTTGCATTTATAATCATTTAACAGATCCGTTATGTGAAAGCCTCATCGATGATTTTCGATGATTTTTTGTACAATTAGTTACTTGGTAATTTTTATTCTATTTCAATTAATACATTATTTAGCAAAGATTCAAAAGAATCATTAATCCCTTTATTCCGAAATTTAATAAATTTAAATTTTAATATACAAGAAGCTGGTTTTTTGTACACAATAATTTCATTACAGAAATAAGGATAATAAACAAAATAGCAATAAAAATAATTACACAACAAAAATTCACCCAGAATTAATGTTTTTCTTACATCTAACAAATCTTAATGACCATCTTTCCAAAATTTTTACCGGTTAATATATTTACAAATGCTTCCGGAGCATTTTGGATTCCTTCAACTATGTCTTCCTTATACTTTAATTTACCTTGTTTTAACCATTCACCCATTTCTTTTTGGAAAGATTCACCCATTTCTTGGTAATGATCACTTACGATAAATCCTTGAATTAAAAGGCGTTTTCCAACTATCTGCATTAAATTTTTAACGCCATAAGGAGTCTTGGTATTATATTGAGAGATCATTCCGCATGCCACTACACGGCCAAAAATGTTTATATGATTGAGAACTGTTTCAAGAGTTTCGCCACTATTTTTTAAAAAAATTGGTAATTATTTTTATAAATATGATAAATACTGTAATTATGAAAGAAAATTAAATTTACCCAACATTATCGAAATAAATGTCAATCCCATTTGGACATAATTCTCTTAATTTCTATTTATAACATTAAATATTAGTATTTAATAATAATGTACATAAAAAAAAATGCATTAACAATATAAACGAAAAAAATCTAAACAGATTATCGATTACCTCGTCAGTATTACAAGTTTTATAATTAAATACACCATCAAAATTCAATTCTTCCTTAAGATATTTAATTTTAGCATCATCACCAGCGGAGCCAATTACGCGTAATCCTTTAATCTTTGCAATTTGACCTACTACTTGCCCAACTGCTCCTGATGCAGCCTAATTATTATTAATATAAAAATTTTTTGAATATACAATACTGTACATTTACGCGTAAAAAAAAAAAAGAAATTGATAATTTTTAATTTAACTTACTGTAATAAAAATAGTTTCACCTTTTTTTGGTTTACCAATTTTATTGAGGCCAACATAAGCAGACAATCCAGGCATACCAAGTATTCCAAGAAAATAACTTTTAGGTGCATTAGATTTTGTAATTTCATTCGCCAGACTTTCAATGCCTGATTTAGCATTTGCAAGAATATGCGTGTATTCTTCCCAACCTAATTAACAATTTCAATGATCAATTTTATTACTAAACGATGATAATAATGATAATAATCATAACAAAAACAATAATAATAATAATAATAATAATGATAATAGAATTATTTTACCGATCAACCCGGCATAATAGTCTCCAACTTGACAATCCTTTTTGTTAGATTTAACAACAATACCAATACCACGCCCATCTAAAACTTTACCAATTTCGAATGCTGGTGAATAAGATTTTGCACTAGGATGTCTCATTTTACCACGCATATATGGATCTAATGATAAATATTGATTTTTTACAAGAATTTCTCCGTCGGCAAGTGGAAAGTTTTCGATATCAATTTCTCTAGTAACAAATTCCATATGCTCTCCTGGTACCGGATAACTGTCAGGAACTGCTTTAAATATGATACCATTATTAGAAGGCATTTTTCTCGAGGTTTGTTTTGTTAATTAAGATGTACTATCGTTATTTCTTTTCACAAATGATTTATTTTAATAACGTTAATACGGTAAGTATTTATAATCACGCTAATTACATAATTATATTACAGTATTAGAGATTATCAAAGTTGACACATCATATAGATGTCGCCATAATATAAAAAAGGAAATTATTTACAGTGGTACGTATCATCGCTAAAACTGTCCTATACTGTAATTTTTTATGAGCAATTATAATCAAAATTGTAAATTTCTGCCATTTATTGCAGGGTGAACGTAATTTTTTATATAAATGGTCGATATACTATATTTATCGTTATCGTTATACCGTAAATTATATGAAACTATTTATGGTAAAATATAGCATTAAACTTTAACCATAACAAGAAATATGAATAACACAAAATGGCTTCTGACCCGGTTTCCAAGTAAAAAGGATAAACGAAGTTATACGCGAATAAAAATTTGGAATCAATTGGACCAAATGAACATAATAAAACTGTGCCACAATTTTATCGACGATTTAATTAAGATATACGTGTTGCCAAGGGAAAATGGACACAATCCCTAATAAATTAGATAATTTAACTAATTTTTTACAGCTGTTTTCATAAATTTTAGGGCAAATAATAAAAATTTGACTGACTATTTGGCCAATTTGATAAGTTTGTGATTTCGGTAATACTCAACTACGTAATATTATATATCTTTACTAAATAATGTGGTAGCTATATAATGTATATCGATATCGCCACTTTTATCTTTGTTAAATTACATTTTAAAGGCATATTCATTATAAAATTGTTGAGAATATTTAACTGTTCGAGTGTTAGCGGGTCTTCCGTGAGTCGAATTCTCAAACAGTTTCGAAATTTGAGTGCGCTGAAAAAAGCTTCTAACTCTTTAAAAAAATAAACCTATATTTATTAATTAAACTTTTAATGAACAAAAATTTCTTTGTTACAATAATTCCAGATTGAGCTGCTGATGTTATATTAGATTCAGTTGTCGTTTCAGACAAGTTAGATATTTCTAATTCAACTGCGGTTACTTTAGACAAGTTAAGTGCCTTTAAAATGTTTAATTTAAATGAACAAACTAAAGGTTCTTTAGTTTTTAGATCAACCGATCAATAATTTCATCAGATCATGCTTTTGACTTGTGTATTTTATAATAGTCATTATACTGTAATAGATTAAAATTTTTTAAATAAAATAATATATACCGGGTGGGTTTTGACGGCGGAGACAGTAAAAAAGGTTATGTTCAGGGACTTTTCACCACCCGGTATTTGTAATTCTCAATACAGTTTCGACAAATATAATAAAATCTTGTTTTTTTTTGGAATTATTACTTGTGTTATATATATATATTTTAATCCGGTCAATAAATTTTGTTCATATAGCGTCTGCTCGTGTAATATATTTATTATGAAAGCTTATCTTTCTTTTATATATATATATATATATATATTTGGTTGGCAAGAATGATCTTCGCCATAAATTTTCGTAAAGACTTAATTTTAAATGTGTTGACATTGTAGTATCGTTCAGAATACTATCGCTATGTATATCGTTATATATTTCTGTATTTTGCAACTGAATTAGCCACCTATCTAAAGTAGCTACTTTAGATGCAATATATACACCTCAAATTAAAAAATTTATCGAATCGAATCGGCCAAATAATCATTCACAATTTTTACTGTAAAAAAGCAAATTCAAATACAGCTAACTGATAAGAAAATAAGCGTTAAATCTATCTTGTTTGCTTTCAGTAATTGTGAGAATTATTACTTTAATGATAAGGTAAGTGATACTGGGTTAAAGTTTATAAGACTTGTGTGCACGAGAGCTTCGAAAAAATAAGAAATAATGTTGCCATATCATTTTTTAAAGATATTTTGAATTTGTTTATTACTAAATATACACTCGTCAAGTCGTGAGACTGCTCAAGAGAATTTATAATGTCCTGTCTTTTACAATAATATCATAATATATAAAAAGAAAACGATAATCCTTTACAATAACATATAAAAATAAATAAAAAGAATAAAGTAACGTAATGAAATTGTTCTATCAATTTATATGTCGAACATGCCAAAATCAAAAACTTATCCAAATGTTTGTCGGTTAAATTTCTGTCTGTTGTTCAGAATCAATGAGAACAACAATAAACACCATGTCTAATGCTCAATATTCACTGGCCCAATGATTGAACTAATTAGGTAAAGGTGATTAAATATTCAGATCCAGTGCCCAGGCCCAACACTGCTCATGTTCATACGCTAGTGCAAATAAATTTTTCTTTAGATATATGTATTTTATTTATTATTTTATTTTATTTTATTTTTTCTTAATTTTGATTTTTAGATAATCTAGATAATTAATCTGTAATCTCTCGTGTGTTGATAAGTTTGCTGGTGTACATGTGATCCGGATGTTTCGGTGATTCGATATTAAATGTAATTTTATCCAAGAATTGTTTCTTGATTTCTCTATCACCATCCTGACTCATTTCATCAAGCCAATAACCAATTATGTTAACAATAACAGTTGCCGCGGGTCGTTTATTTTGATCCTGGTTCATACATCTTTTGGCCAATTCAACATAACAATTAGGTGTTCCCTCATCGAATTCTGGTCTTTTTCCCTTACAAATTTTTACTCCAAGCTTAGTATCGAAAAGTTCACCATCAAATGCTCTTCTTCCTGTTGAAACTTCATACATGATGACTCCAAAGCCGTAGATATCAGCCGCTTGCGTGAACGCTTCACCCATTAAAACTTCAGGTGCTACATACGGCATAACACCATTAATTTCTCCTCCTTGTTTCGTGTTAGATGATGTTGAAAGTCCTAAATCTGTAATGTATGCAGTATGTAAATGATCTTGCAGGATATTTCCGGAATGTAAATCTCGGTGAGTCAATTCTTGAGAATGGATTGATTCAAGGTCTGAAGCGATACTATACAACACATTCAATTTATCTTTCCATTTCATTTGTGCTACCGAACAAAGATTTTGACGCAATGAGCCTTTGCTCGCATATTGCAAACCGATAACATAATCTTTAGATTCATCTTCTCTTGATATTCCATAGCATTTTAAGAATGATGGATTTTCGTATCCGATCTCGCAATATGTTTTTAACTATAGTTCAGTAGTTAAATAAAATTTTCAAATAGAAACAAACTATTAGTATTACTTCATTAACAAATTCTTGATTTGCATTAATATTACCTCATCGACAAATTCTTGATTACATTTATTTGAACCATGAATCAGTTTAAGCGCAGTTGGTAACCAAATATTCGCATTTTTATCGAACCAATACGCATAATACACGGTTGCGAATCCACCTTTTCCTATCTCCCATATATTTTTAAATTCGTTATAAGGAATCCATTGTAGTCGATACTTTTCATCTTCCAATATTTTTTTCAAATTATCATTAATGCTCTTATATGATAATTTGTTTATCCTATTTACACTTCTTTCTATTCGATACCAGTGATTGGCTCGTTGTATGCCTTGCCTCTTGGTACACCAATTCCATTTCGATAACAAGCACCAACAAGGAAAATTGCACCAGTATTACCCATATCCGCAGCTTTTTTATAGTATTCAAATGCTTTCTTTTCATCCTTTTCGACTTCAATTCCAGTTTGATAATAACGTCCAATCATAGCTGCTCCACTAACATGCCCCATCTCTGCAGATTTTTGATAATAAATGAATGCCTTATGTCTATCCATTTCAACTCCAATTCCATGATCATAACAATATCCAAGATTATATATTCCATCAGCGCATCCCATCTCTACAGATTTTTGATAATAAATGAATGCCTTATGTTCATCTTTTCCAACTCCAATTCCTCTCTCATAACAAAATCCAACCTTAGATATTCCCATAGCCCCATCTCGGCCGATTTTTGATAATAAATGAATGCCTTATGTTTATCCATTTCAACTATCATAACAACATCCAGCACTATATATTCCCTCAGCGTATCCCATCTCTCCAGATTTTTGATAATAAATATACGCCTTATTTTCATCCTTTTCAACTCCAATTCCATTAAGATAACAATATCCAACATTAAATGTTCCAATAGCGTGTCCCATTTCAGCAGATTTTTGGTAATAAATGAATGCCTTATGCTCATCCTTTTCAACCCTTATCCCATTTTGATAATTGTATCCAAGGGTAAAAGGGTCTAAATCAGTTGATTCTTTATGATGAACCGAATTATTATGATTCATTTTACTTTTTAAATGTGAAAAAAAAACAAAATTTGAATTCACCGTTTAAATAATTTAAATACAAGTGTATTACTATTTTACTGTGTTTTTGTATTGAGTGGTACGACTTTTATAGGTACATCAAGCGAAAAATCCGACCCAAAAACTTTAATTCGAGGTACAGTGCAGGAAGTCAACTCACTTTATTGAAGTCGCTGATTTCGGAAAAATTTGAAGTGTCACTTGATTATGCATTACATTACAGATCACACATTACGCCAAGCATACTTGATTCAGTGCTTTAAGGCAGTGTTGGGCAGTTTTGGTTTTTGGACACCAAGATTTCCACTTACTGAATTACGGCAATTACGGCATTTTACCAACGATAGAATTAATTACGGCATAGCATCTAATTGCCGTAAATATTATATCATAATGGCGTAATATTTTTCAATGCTGTAATGTCGTAATGTCGCAATTCATTATTAGAGGTCTCAAAATTAAAAATCGTGTCGGCGGATCACGCACGTGATTCGTGGGATAGGTTTTTTCTATATGGGTTGTTTACTAGAAAAATCACCATTTATACTTGCTTTCAGACAGTGATTTTCTTAGCAAACGACTCATATTTCGGAAATGGGTCAAAATTTTACCTCGACCTCGGAGCCTGGCCTGATTTATGACACTTTGCGAATTATAACGTACGGTAGCTATCCCACAAAACATTTTACCCCCCCC